ACAGACACACACACACAGACAACCTCTCGTCAATATGCGTTTTTTGCATTGCACAGCTGCAAAAAATGCATAAAAACTATTTGTAGTAATTTATCATCGCTAATGATCGTACAAGGAAACTTTGCAAATTTTTATACAAAGCTGAATGCAATATTGTAAAGAAACCTTGGTCCGCAGTCGAGCTTCTATTGCTGGTAGCCAATCTAGGAACTCATGAATCTGCTCATCGAAATTTTTGGCATCAACAAGAGCATTTTTCAGGCGTTCATTTCGTTTTTTCGCTAAACTTTCCAGATGCTCCCAGTCCACGTCCATTTTTTCCAACTTCTTTCTCAAGCCATCGAGTGAATCATCCGTTTCTTTGCCTTTTAGCATCTAAAAACTGATTTATAATTAATCAATACTTCAAGGAGTCAGCTTTAATGGTAGAGACCACTGTTTCGAACAAATCCAAGTGTCAGCTGTAATTCATAGTCGTAGGAAACTTAAGGTTTTAACTTAACGTTGCTGGCGGCTCTGAGATTAATCAATCAAACACAATTGTCGTACTGACGAGGCCCAATTGTGGTAACGGTAAGAAATGTATACAACTTAATGGACCGAAACATTTCTTAACATTAGAAAATATTTTTTAATACAATTCAAGTTTCATTAATTTCTTGTTTCAACATTAAAATATTTTTATTATTTTCGACTATCAGTTGAAGCGACAAAAAGCTCAGCGGTTTTCCTAACAGAAGTATTTAGTTTCAAGAAATTCCTGACATGATCACCACAACACCCAAACATTGTTACTTTCAGACGACAATGAGGTATCTTCTGATTCGGACCACATAGTAAAAAAAAAAGAAAAACAGCAAAATGTAAAACAAGCAAGATTTCTAAAAAAAAAACCTGCTGGGCTCGTTCTTTCACTGAATTCATTGTATCTCGACGGCCATGAATCTGTGCGGTCAGTTCCGCGTGTGCATCGTTCAATTTGCTCACTGTCTCCAAATCACCGTGCACCGGCTGATTTTCCATATCCTCCAAATTTGGCAGCTCCTTTTCAAGCCATTCACGTAGCGAGGACAGAGCCTCATCAAACTGACCGCATGCCAGCAGTGCTTCCTCGATCGAACGTTGCCTGAAAAGCCGAGAACCATATGAGAGAAGTGCTTGAAAACCCAGCAAAATCGGATCAGGACAACTGCGCCTAGTCCTTCACGGGGATACGCAACGCAGTACCAGTGGATAGTTGGTAAAAGATGACGAGTGGAGAGGAAGTGAGCCGCCAATCGGGGAAGAGGAAGAGCAAAGAGCAAAAAAAAGACAAGACGGTCTTGCCTGATCGGCAATCAATGTTACCCTTTGATTTTGCCATACTACTTTGCCATACTGGAGAATGGTCATATCCATAACGGAGTTTTTATAAACGTGTCCTTACATATAGATTGATCGCCATCATGAATGCTGCGCAACCAAGAGCCGCTTTTATTATAAGTAGAAGGCAGTACGGGTCGTAAAAGTCCTATAGGCAAAAGGAAAAGGCTAATAAGCTAAAGGACAGGAACAGCGGCCCATTATAACTTTCGCTGGATGAGAAAATCTTTGAAAGTAGCAATCACTCCCTGTAGGATGACCATCGCGCGATGCAGTAATGAACAAAGCAAGTATAAAAGTTACCATCTAAGTTAAACATAAATGGAAAATCAGCCCCTGAATTAACAGCTTTTCCAGGCATCTCGAGTTCCCGCATAATTGAAGGAAATAAAAAGATCAAAAAACCCAGAAAAAAGGGAAAAGTGAATCAAAGTGAACAGATTTTAATCTACTATACAATCCAAAATATAAATTTAACAATTAAAACTTCCTTCTGATCTCTCCAGTGTGCATTATGAACAATAGCACACAGCAATAAGGCTTTTCAAGGAAAATTTTTTCCTACTTTCTTACAAAATAAAGCAAAAACCTTTGTAGTGCAGCAGAGATCAGTTCGGTCCATTTTTGCTTCAGCAGCTCATTCGTCAGATTAATCCCAGCCTGTTCTGCACGCGGTGCATGCTCCGCAAGTGTCTTACCACGTTTGTAGGTTGCCTCGTACATAACTTGTCGTTCCGCGAGCTCATGCTGGAATCCCCTGTGCTTTTCCAGATCGATTCGAAGCCGATCACCAGATGCTGTCTAAAAATATTCTCTATGTTCAATAAATTCCGCTTTTTCTTGCCATACAGTGGCATACTCTTCTGGGTTATGAAGGAAGTGAAATTTTCAAGAAAATTTAGCAATCACGAGGAAGTTGCTTTCTGTACATTTTAGCTATTTATAATGTATGTTGGTGAATATGGTAACGCAGCTGATACATTGGCGGATCCAAGGGTGGGGGGAAGGGGCAGGGGCTTTTCGTTCCCCCCCCCCCCTCTCCCAACAGTTTAAGAAGCAACTGTTTTACTATAGAAAAATCTGCTCGGCACCCTC